AGAGGAATGGGGTCCTGAGGGTGGGATGCTGGACACTGGTCTTGGGTGCATGGAGGTAGAGTATCCTGGGGGGGTGGAGGAAGAGGATCCTGGAGGGATGAAGGAGGAAGATCCTTGGGGAATGCTCTAAACCCTCCACGCCACTGGTGGGGAAGCACCCGTATCCCTCAGTGCTACACCACCCCTCCCAACACCATCCCCTCCCGTCCAGGAGAAGGCGCTGACTGTCCGCTGCGAGCGGGACTTGGGTCCCATTGTCCTTATCCGCCTGCACAAGTGGCGACTCTTCTTGGAGGACGCTTGGTTCTGCAAGGATGTCCGCGTGACAGCCCCCGACGGCACCCTCTACCGCTTCCCCTGCTACCAGTGGTTGGAGGGGATCACCACGGTGGAGGTCCGGGAGGGCTCAGGTAGGACCTGCCCACCTTCATCCTCCTCTTCTAGCCAGGAGGTCCAACCTTGACCCCTTTCTTCTTCTTCTTTCTAGGGAAAAAGCTGGTGGATGATGAGCTGGAGATCCTCAAGGAACATCGGTTGCGGGAGCTGAAGCTGCGGCAGGAGGCTTACCAGTGAGAACAGGGACATAGGGATGGAGGCCCACCATGACCAGAGTGGCCTGGCCAATGGTGACACCGATGTTTGTCCCCACATCCCACCCGCAGGTGGAAGACCTTCGCCGAAGGCTGGCCCCGTTGCCTCAACGTGGGCTCTGTCCTCGAGCTGGACTCCAACGTTAAATTCTCCTTCGTGAGGGCCACCAACTTCAACGGTGTCCTCATCTTCCAGTAAGCAATGCCCCAAGGTCGAGGAGGACTTGGATGATGAGGATGAAGAGCATCGCCAGTGCCACCCTGTCCCGGGAGGCTGGTGGAAGGGTGGTCAGGAGAGGGGTGGTCAGGGAAGGGGTGGTGGGTGCTGAGGTCCACCTTTCTCCCGTAGAGGGGCTTCTCACCTTCTCAGAGGGTTCCTGTTGAGACGCACCTCCTGGAAGAGCCTGGATGAGATGCGCAGCATCTTCTCCCGGACGAAGGGCAGGGAGATCGGTGGGTGCCTTCTCTGTCCTCCCCCACCACCCAGGGCTTCCCAGGAAGCCCCTGGCTTTGATGTGGAGAGGGTGGGCAAGTTGGGTGCTGATGTCCCACCATCCCTTCAGTCCCCGAGTACGTGGCCAAGCACTGGCAAGAAGATGACTTCTTCGGTTACCAGTTCCTCAACGGCAACAACCCCATCGTTATCCAGCAATGCACGGCGCTACCGGCCAAATTCCCGGTGACACCAGAGATGGTGGCTGGTTTTTTGGGTGATGGTGCCAACCTAAGCAAGGAGTTGCAAGAAGGTCGGATCTTCATCGTGGACTACGAGATCCTGGAGGACATCCCCGCCGGCACCATCCATGGACGCCAGCAGCACGTGGCGGCTCCACTTTGCCTTCTGCACCAGGGCGCCGATGGGCTCCTACGCCCCATCGCCATCCAGGTAGGGTTATCCCACTCCAAAACCAGTGGACAACCCCACCGTGGTGGTGATGATGATCACACCATGTGATTGTGTCCCCACAGCTCAACCAAACACCGGGAGCCACCAATCCCATCTTCTTACCAAACGATGCCGAGTGGGATTGGTTGTTGGCCAAGACATGGGTGCGCAACGCCGACTTCTACAACCACCAACTTCTCACCCACCTTTTGAGGACCCATCTTTTCGCGGAGGTCTTCGCCATCGCTACCCTACGTCAGCTACCCACCTGTCACCCCCTCTTCAAGGTAAGGTCTCACCTCGGGACCACCCTCACCCATCTGACCTCAGTGACACCCACCGTGGGAAGTCCTTGGTCATCTCCAAGATCTTGGTTTCCACCACCAGCTCCTCATCCCTCACTTCCACTTCACATTGCACATCAACACCTTGGCCCGCAGCGTCCTCATCAACCCCGGCGGGGTCATCGATAAGGTAAGACCCCGGGGACTGGGAGCACTGGGGTATACTGGGAGCACTGGGGGATACTGGGGAGCATTGAGGGGAGGACGGGAGTATACTGGAGGGCACTGGGGGGTCCTTGAGTGCAGTGGAGTATACTGGGAACACTGGGGAGCACTGAAGAGCCTGGGGAACATTAGAGAGAAGGTTGGAGCTGGGAAGGACTGGGAGCACTGGGACAGCTGGGAACTGGAAGAGGGGGGTGTGAGGAAGCATGGTACCTCCTGCCCTGAGTATCCATGGGTCATGTGTGTCGCCGTGTCCCCCCTTCCAGGGCTCGGGGGTGACCTATGAGGGGATGCTGTTGCTCGTCCAACGGGGCTTGGCGAAGGTCACCTACTCCTCCCTCTGCCTCCCCGATGACATCACGCACCGTGGGATGACCCGCATCCCCAACTACTACTACCGGGATGATGGGATGAAGCTCTGGGAAGCCATCGAGAGGTGGGACAAGAGGTTGGGTGACAGTTGACAGAGGTTCCATGGATGCTCCATGACCTCACCGTCATCTTCACCCTGTGGTAGCTTTGTCTCCGGCATCGTGGCGTTCTACTACAAGGAGGACGCGGCGGTGAACGGGGACACTGAGCTGCAGGCCTGGGTGATGGACATCTTCACCAACGGCTTCTTGGGCAGGACCTCCTCAGGTACCACGTCCCCAAAGCCGTGGGTGCCGTGGGATGTCCCCAGGGGTGGTGGTGGTGGGGATGAGGACAGGTCCCTGATGTTCTTTGATGTCACCACCCCCAGGTATCCCCTCCTCGCTACAGACGATGGCGGAGCTCACCAAGTTCCTCACCATGGTGATGTTCACCTGCTCGGCACAGCACGCGGCCGTCAACAACGGACAGGTGGGACAGTGGACCTCTGACCCCTTCGGCATCCAAAAGATGTCTCCAAATGTCCCCAGGAGCTGTCCTCCTCCAAGCCCTCTGTGTGCAGGAGGGATGTCCCCATCCTGAGCCAGGGTAGATAACCGGGTCCCACCTCACGTAAGGAGAACGTCCCCACCCAACCCAGCTCCATGCTGGAGGGATAACCTCACCCCACCTCACGAGAAGGTCCCCACCCATCCCATCTCCATACCAGAGGGACATCCCCACCTCAGGAGATCATCCCCACCCATCCCGTCTCCATACCAGAGGGTTGTCCTCTGCTGACCATGACCTCCCACCCTCCAGTATGACCTGGGTGCCTTCATGCCCAACGCGCCGTCCTCCATGCGTCACCCACCGCCGGCGGCCAAGGGCAAGGCCTTCCTCCAGCACTTCCTCGACACTCTCCCCGAGGTGGACACCACTGCCAACATCTTGGTGGCCCTCATCCTCCTCAGCTCCCGCCTCAAAGACATGGTGAGTCTGCCCTCACCATCACCACACCCTGATGATGACGGTGATGATGATGAACCCCAAGAGATGCCACAGCAAGGCGCAGGTGCCCATCCCCGCTTTGACTAGCCCCCAAAGTTAGGGTGGTGGCCACCATCCCTCTAGGAGGGTGCCCAGAGAATCCCTCCCTAGGTGATGTGAGACACCTCAGTCAAATGCTTGAACTTGATTGGTCCCCATCCCCATGTGCCCCAGAGGCTTCTGGGACAGTACCCGGAGGAATGGTTCACCGAGGCGGAACCCCGGCGCTTGATCCGGACCTTCCAGGGGCGGCTGGAGGGGATCCAGGATGACATTGAGGACCGAAACTACCGGGCCCAGCTGCGCTACGGGTACCTGAACCCGCTGGAGATCGAGAACAGCATCTCCATCTGAGCGACGGGGCGGCCCCGCGCTGTGCCCAGCACCCCTGCACCCAGCACCCCTGCACCTGAACACCCTCCAGCACCCCCTGTACCCAGCA